CCCCGAGAACCCGCCGTCCCCAGAGTGAGGACGACACGGTGCTCCAGGAGCCCCGAGAACCCGCCGTCCCCAGCCTCCTCGGGAGCTTTCTCATTCTTTCCCTTCAGTTGTTTTCTCTGGGCCAAAACCTGGCGCTATTTTTGGAATTAGGGAATTTGAAAATAAAAATAAACCAACCTTTTGAACTATAAGGTGTGGGGGGGGCATATTTTTTAAACAATGATGGCAGAACACAAAACAAGTGATACAATTGGTTGGACAGCACTGACCCGCCCTGCCCTGCCTGATATTGGAGATGGACAGCTGCCTGGAGTCCCAGGTAGAAGAGCTTCCAGTACCTGTAAAGACTGTCACCTCTGTGTTCGCAACACCAACCTAGAGGGCCAGCTGTGGTCAGGACTAAGCTTGTGGAGCCCAATTCCTGTACATCGACATCCTGTCTCCCGATCTGCTCTAAGGAGAGCATGTGGCACGACACGTCCTCTCTGAGGCCTGGCTGGAGGCCAGGAGCAGCAAAGTGTGGTTGCTCTGAAGGCCAGAGGAGAGAAGCCAGGCGGCCCCTCAGAATCCCGACGATGTGAGGGAAAACGAACGTCTTCAGGCCCTGAAGCAAGGGCCCTGGGGTGGTCCAGAAACCATCCTCCAAAGAGCAGCTCAGATCCAGGGCTGGCATCGTCCTTCCCATGGGCGGTCACTCTCAGCGTAGGTAATAATCAATGGCAGCAGAGAACGCAGCGAAACCTCCACAACCGATGGCCCCAGCTTTTAAGCCAGCTGTCAAACAAACAGAAATCACATCACCTGCCTGACAGCTGCTGCGGCGCGATGCACTCACGTCAGGTTCACGCACCCTCAGGTGTGAAGCAGCTTAGGCACTGTAAGTCATTCAAGCGATCGCAGCGCTGTGAGACATCAGCGCAGCAGTGGGCAGATCTAACGCCGCGTGCTCATCTGACTGCATTTGTGTGGCTTGTCTCCTTCAAGGACTATTTCTAGTCTTAGGGAAATAGCCCCTCACAGGCAGGAAACTGCTTAAGAGAAGCAGCCCTTGGACTCAAATGAAAGCATATGGCCTTTGACCCTGATTTGTTTACGGAATACATTCCTGGGAAGGTGATCAAAGCAGTCCTGGAGACAGCGGAGCTTCTCAAAGAGGCCCTGGCGAAGCTGAGCAAAGGAGGCGATGAAGTTCCTCCACCAATCACAAACGGTGTCAGAGCAACAAAACCAGGTTTTCACGACAGCAAATCATCCTGTCTCCCAGAAGACGAGAAAACCGGCTTTTTGCTCCAAGTCGGGGCATGACAGATGGAAACTGGTCCAGTGATAAAGCACTGATGCTTCCAGGAGTCAGGCCCCAAGGCCCTCCACACTCGGATGGACACGCTGACAGGGAAACGGCAAGCAAACTGGTTTTCTCCTTTTTTTTTTAAGATGGGGTTTCACCATGATGGCCAAGCTGGTCTCGAACTCCTGACCTCAGGTGATCCACCCACCTCGGCCTCCCAAAGTGCTGGGATGACAGGCGTGAGCCACCGTGCCCGGCCGTTTTCTCTTTTTTTACAGCTGATAATCGAGCATTTCCAGAATATCTGCGCTTAGCATTCAACGGGTAGAAATCGGAATCCCCGAGGGCAGAAAGATATTACTGTTACATCATTTATATCCAAAATTAAAACTGACAACTGTATAGAATTATTGAGAAAAATGTCGGCCAGGTGCAGTGGCTCATGCCTGTCATCCCAGCACTTTGGGAGGCCAAGGCGGGTGGATCACCTGAGGTCAGGAGTTCGAGACCAGCCTGGCCAACATGGTGAAACCTCGTCTCTACTAAAAGTACAAAAATTAGCCAGGTGTGGTGGTGGGAGCCTGTAATCCCAGCTACGCAAGAGTTGCTAAGGCAGGAGAATCACTTGAACCCAGGAGGCTGAGGTTGCAGTGAGCCGAGATCGCGCCATTGCACTCCAGCCTGGGCAACAAGAGTGAGTCTATCTCAAAAAAAAAAAAAAAAAAAAAAGTCTAAATTCTTGAAATGCTTAGAGTAAAAAGCTCGGCATGGTCAGCTGCGTGGGGTGGCCTGGGCTGAATGGACACAGCCCAGCTTCTGTGTCCCGCACCGACAGAGTGCAAGGATCACTCACCGTGAGGAGGTTTTCCCGTATGTTCAGCATGGGCAGTTCTGTGTTCTTAGATCTGGATCAGTGACTCACCTGGGGTCACTTGCCCCTCAGGGAGACTTTCAGGGACATCAAGAGTTGTTACAACTGGACAGGCGCAGTGGCTCACACCTGTAATCCCAGCACTTTGGGAGGCCAAGGCAGGCAGATCACCTGAGGTTGGGAGTTCAAGACCAGCCTGGCCAACATGACAAAACCTCATCTCTACTAAAAATACAAAAAAATAGCTGGATGTGGTGGCGGGCACCTGTAATCCCAGCTATGCGGGAGATGAGGCAGGGGAATCACTTAAACCCAGTAGGCAGAGGTTGTAGTGGCCAACATCTGCCACTGTACTCCAGCTCAGGTGACAGAGTCAGACTTGGCCTCCAAAAAAAAGAAAAAGCAGTTGTGACAGGGTTCCCTGCATCTTGTGGGTGGAGGCCAGGGATTGTGCTAAACACCTCAGAATGCACAAAACAGACCCAGGCCCGGCAAGGGTTCATCTGGTCCAAATGTCGACAGTGCCAGGGATCAGAAACCTCATCTAGATTCCAGCCAGTTTCCGAAGCTGAGTTCACACAGAAACGACCGTGATGTATTGGTCAGGGGGAGGGAGATCAAGTGTCCCTGGACAACTCCTATGTTTGGAAACGGCAGCCTCAGCACGTTCTCCAAGGCCACAAAGCAAAAGCATCCACGTGCCGCTTACCAACCTCTGAAACCAATGGCTCCTCCGGTGATGCAGCCACTGAAGACGCTATTCTTCCAATCCGACTTCCCCCGGTACTGTGGGCAGAGGAGGACACTTTAGAGCCGGAGAAACACACAAGTCCATTCAGGGAAAATACACAGGGCTTCTAGTTTGCTCATTGAGTCCCTGCCCAGAGGAAACCCCATCTTTCCCAAAAGCACAGTTCTAACAGTGCAGGACACACGTGTATACAGTATGTGCTCACAGGCGCTTCCTGCAGGTGGCGCCACAGTGCCGAAACCAAGTCCAGCACTTGAAACGGAATCAAAATTTCTAAAGGGGCTCTCCAACAGTCTCGTGTTTTAAATCATTAGCTAACTTCTAGCCTGCAAAAAGTAAAAAATAATGCAAGCCCATACTGTAAACACACCAAAAGTTTGCAACAGGGACTATTTTCTGGAACTTAAACCTAGAGTGTATCTGAGGCTCCGAGATGCTTTCTGTAACAACTTGCAAATGACTTTTAAAGAGCAATTTCTCTTTAAAATGGCGGCCCCACCAGGGATTTCTCAGAAGGCAGAGACACTTACAGATTCCACCAAACACTCAGTACAGGAAAACATGGCTCCCACGATGGCAAAATTCTTGGCATACGACATTCCTCTCTGCCCCATGTCCTTCAGAACTTCTTTTGCAGTCGGTGTGCGGTAAGGATCCTTAGGGTCAAAGCCCACATTGGTATCGATGCCGGCAGTAAACACCCCAAATGCACCTCCTAAGACAAATCCTAGAGGCAAGCACAGAGGCGAAGGTTTCTGGATTACAGCACTGGGATCGTACTGGAAGGGACGCCCCCTTCTTGCCACTCGAACTCCACCTGCCTGGTGGAGAGCTGGACACAATCCAGGGTCTATTACTGTGACATCATCTTCTGCCTCTAGGGTTTCTCGCTCCTTTAACCCTCTCTGCTCGCTACACTCTCTCACATGTAAACCAGCCACTCTCAAGTTCACCAATCAGCTTTGCAATCCCTCTCTTGACCATAGTGACATCCATGGCAATGCTTCACTGAGCAGCACATGCCGGATACTACACTCGGGCACGTTATAGTCACAGCTTCACTTATTCTTCACAGTCATCCAGCGAGACAGATGCTATCAGCCTCTCCTTTCCATAGATAAACCAAGGCTCAGAGAGGTTAAGCCACTTCTACCAAGGCCACACAGCTAGTCAGCGGCAACTCTCACACTGCTGTCCACATCTGACTTTCCCATAGGGATGCCCCTCATGACTTCATGGTCAGTGTGAGATTAATAAGATCATGGGCACCTCCCTCCAGA